CCACGATCAGCACTTTCTAGAGTCGACACTCTTCTTGCTCCTCTTCTTGTTTCTCTTGGTCTCCTTTCCTTCACTATCACTGGTCTCGAGAACTGGTCGCTTCTTTCCCGCTTCCGATACACTAATTCTTAGAATAGAATTGAAATGAAATTATTTCTGTGTTCTAAAAATTCTGTTTACAAAGATTCTTGTAAAGTGTTAAGTCGATAATAACAAACATTCACTAAATGCAATGCATGAAATTCAATCAGATTCATCTTCCTCTATTACTTCATCACCATCACCGTCTTCTTCCGCCAAATCGTCATCATCGGTTTCAGCAAACTCATCATCACCTTCTTCTTCTGTATCATCGGGAAGATCTTCAAGTTGCCTGTTTCGAGGGTCTATTAAGAAAATCTCCTCATCAACATCTGGTTCAGCCAGATCTACGCAAGTGTCCTGTTGAAGTGGAACATCCTCAACCCCTACAATCTTGCCCCTCGGAGCCACTTTAACTACAGCTAACCATGAAATTCCTGTGGATCGAACTCGCGGGTATGGCAGAAACGTTACCTGTTCTGCTTGAGAAGCTAATATAAATGGCTCAAACCTGTTGTACCGTCGTGATTTGTTCACGTCAACAACTCCAAACTTGTTTAGACGTACCCCTCGTCCAACAGTTGGATCAAACCAATCACATTTGAAGAGAACAATTTTCAGCCTTAACAATCCAGGATACTCTACTTCAATTATTTCTTGCACAACTTCATAAAAATCGATTTCACCCCTCACACAAACTCCATAGTTTGTTGTCGCCCGCTTTGCACCGTGACGGTATGTGTGAAAAACATAGCCCCGAGTGAAATACATTGAGGCTGTAGTTATTTTTGCCATCGGACCTAGTAGTAACTCATGGAACCATGTTGGAAATTCATCCGGGTCATTCGGGTCCACCTAATAAGAAAAAAATTCCGCTTTGATATCTTGATTTCGATATATAGCAAATTAAAGTAGTCTTTTAATTAAAATTTTATACGTATTTGCCCTTTTAACCACTGGGCATAGTGTTGATCTTTACGATCATTGATTTCAGTTTCAGAAACCCCAGATATGCATTCTTTAACCTCATCAACAAATGTGCTGAGAAAAACAACAAATAGTTATTAATACTGACAACTCATATAAAGATATTATTAATTAAAAAGGTACCTTTCATACGATGACAACTCTTCACAATTTAACAGGATATACGTATGTGCACTGTGATAATCTTTTTCATTGGACCACCAAACATCTTTTAGTTTTCCACTAAGACGTCTGATCGGCGAGAATATGTCAGGTACACCTTCAACGGCATATGTATGGCCAACTCCTCCATCATCATATCGACGAGTAGCTCTTTTGCGTGTTCGTACTTTCGGTGCAAAATAGTATGAAGTGAAGTGTGAAGTCTCTTGCGTTAAGCTTCCCGCCACAATTGAGCCTTCCACTTTAGCTAGATTTTTGGCTTTGCCTTTAAGATGCTTCATGAAACGCTCGAACGGATACATCCACCTGTACTGAACGGGTCCACCGAGCTCTGCTTCGTATGGGAGATGAACAGGAAGATGTTCCATAACATCAAAAAATGATGGTGGGAAGATCTTTTCCAAATTGCACAACAAGATTGGAATATTCAATGCCAGTTGTGATATTACATCAACTGATAATGTTCGTGTACTAAGATCCCGAAAAAAAGCACCAATGTCTCCAATAGCTTCATGGACGTTTTTGGGCAAGAGTTCAGCAAATGCAAATGGAAATAATCGTTGCATAAAGACATGGCAGTCATGGCTTTTCATCCCAGCAAACTTTACCCCCTTCTCAACAGATTTGGAAAGATTAGAGACATACCCATCAGGAAATTTAACGTCAGAAGAAACCCATCTGAACAATGCTGACTTTTGATCTGCACTCAACCGAAATACAGGAACTGGTGCTTTCCCGTTTCTGAGATGCAACTCACTTCTGTTGCATAAATCAGGCAAGTCCAATCTTGATTTACCATTGTCTTTTGTTCTTCCCGCTACGTTCATAACTATATGCATGATGTTATCAAAAAAGTTTTTTTCAATGTGCATGACATCAAGATTGTGTCTGAGCAGATGATATTTCCAATAAGGTAGTTGCCAGAAGATACTTTTCTTGTGCCAATTATGATGAACTCCATAACCTTCAGGCATATTTGTAGGAGTGTGCCAGTTTCCCCCACGAGTTACTGTTTCTTCTGCCCTCCAATGATCTATTTGCGCCTGTATATCAGCTCCTGTTAAATTAACGGGAGGAGGAACACATACACTTTTGTTCTTCAAAAATAACCTCTTGTTCCTCCGATATGGATGGTTATCCGGTAAAAACCTTCGGTGACAATCAAACCAACAAGTTTTTCTACCATGTTTTAGCTGAAACGCATCAGTTCGATGAAGACAATAAGGACAAGATAGCCTCCCATGTGTAGTCCATCCTGATAGCATACCGTAAGCGGGGAAATCGCTTATTGTCCACATAAGCACAACCCGCATAGTAAAATTCTTCCTCGTAGAACAGTCATATGTACGAACGCCAGTATACCATAACTGATTCAACTCATGGATGAGTGGCTGAAGAAATACATCGAGAGCTCGCTTCGGATGATTTGGACCTGGAACCAAAATACTTAGGAAAAGAAATTCCCTTTGCATGCACAAATCTGGAGGAAGGTTATAATGAGTTAGGATTACTGGCCATAATGAATATTGTCTACCAGACATACCAAATGGACTAAAACCATCAGTGCACAGACCAAGATAGATATTCCGTTTGAACTTAGCAAAATCTGGGTATACCGTATTGAAGTGTTTCCATGCCTTTGCATCTGATGGATGAACAACTTCTCCATCTACTTGTGTATGTTCCGCATGCCATCTCATTGATGCAGCTGTCCTTTCAGGACCGACCACAAGTTCGCTAATCCTGCAACTGAATGATGAACTTTTTCCACATCTTTAGTTTTGTCTTCATCTCGAGCATACTTGGGTGTGCCGCCATCTCGAGTGAAACTAAGGTTCTGTCGTCGACAGAATCTCTTAGCCTATCTCCCAACCGAAACATCGTGTCTCATGGTGCTGTCTTCGAGCTTGGTCTCTTCAAACCTGATCATTCAAGTTTGGAACGTTGGTATCTCGGGATTTGGTTCAAGACAGAAAAAACATATATTGTATGGGTTGCAAACAGAGACAAACCTCTCTCTAAACCTAACGGAACCCTCCAGATCAAGAACGGTAACATCCTCCTGCTCGACCAAACTACCCTTGTTTGGTCAACAAATGTGACGACGACGGAGAAGAAAAGTGATGAGAGATCTCCGTTAGTGGCCGAGCTTCACGCTGATGGCAACTTCGTGCTGCGTCGTCACTCCAGCAACAGTAATGATCATCATCATGATCCAGATAGTACTTTTCTGTGGCAGAGTTTCGATTTTCCTACCAACCTTTTGCTACCGTACACGAAACTCGGTTGGACGCGCAGAAGCGGGCGTAGCAGTGTGCTCAGATCGTGGAAAAACGATCACAATGATCCATCAAGTGGCGAGTTTTCATTTGGATTCGACTCTGCAAGTCAGTTTCGAGCGATCCCGGCGATTTTCACTTGGAAAGGGACTTCTCCGATTAACCGTTTTAGCCCTTGGCTTGGAGCTTTCACTTATGGCATTCCTCGAGAAAGCCCTTCTCGCTATCTCACATTTACGCTAACAGCGACCAAGGAAGAGGTGACTTTCTTCTTCTCTTGGGCTGATAAAACATCCAAATCGGTTCTTAAGTTAAACGCCACGGGAGTAATACAACTGCTAGTGTTGAATGCCAAGAACCGAAGATGGGACACCTTGTGGACATCAACAACTGACCGTTGCGAGGATTACAGCTTGTGTGGTCCGGACAGCTACTGTGATAAGGAGGTGTGTAACTGTATGAGTGGGTTTGAGCCCAAGAACCCGCATGCATGGACGTCTGGAAACAGGAGAGATGGGTGTGTGAGGAAGAGACCTCTGAGCTGTAATAATGGAGATAAATTTATTCCGCTGAGTAATGTCAAGTATCCTGATACTAGTAATGCGAGTATGCACTGGGGGATTGAGAAGTTGAACGAATGTGAGAAGTTGTGCTTGAGTAATTGTAGCTGCACTGCCTTTGCCATTGTTGCTAAGCAGGTTGGGAATGGTTTATCGGGTTGTGTGCACTGGACCGGAGAGCTCTTGGATGTTCGCAGATACGTCATCAATGTCAATCAGATTCTTTACGTCAGAAGTCACGGTACACACTTAACTTTTTATCACCACTTGTGTGTAATCAATAAGTATTTGGAATGAGATTCAATATTGTATATTCAATAGATAGATATAGATAGATAAAGATACCTATAGTTTTTAATATAGTTTCAGAGACATATTTGATATAAGACTCTTTCACTTTTTTTTTTTTCTTTTCTTTTCAGAGAAGAAGAAACCCAAAACTGTATTAATAGTCTGCTTGAGTACTGGAGTAGGCATAATAATTATTTTCAGTGCCATCTTTTGTTACTGGAGAATAAAGAAAAAGCAGGCAAGAGCAAGAGCAGCCGCATCATCTATTGGTATATTGTTTGATAAAACTTGTTGATTATCTTTGATTAGCTGTTAGATTTCTGTGTCTTATAATGAACTCCTGATAATTTCTGATGATTAATGGATTTCTTTGAAGAGATCCGAAGTTCCGACTCTGCCACAGAACCCTTGTCTGGAGAGATCACATTAATGGAGAATTTGGAACTTCCATTAATGGATTTCGAAACTATTTCCATTGCCACCAAACATTTTTCTGATTCCAACAAGCTTGGAAAAGGGGGTTTCGGTGTTGTCTATAAGGTAAAATATATAAATAAGATAGTGAAATTTTTTACTTTTGTTTTTTTTTTTTAAATTTTTTTTGAGGGTTTAGGATCTATCACTAGTTTGTGTTGCATATAACTTATTAAAATGAGTGTGGTAACAGGGAATACTTGACGGTCAAGATATTGCTGTTAAAAGACTATCACGTATATCTGGTCAAGGGATCAATGAATTCAAGAACGAGCTGAGACTGATTACAAAGGTTAAACACGTCAACCTCGTCCAACTTCTGGGATACTGTCTAAACAGAGACGAGAAGTTGTTAATATATGAATACTTGGAGAACAGGAGCCTTGATCTTTATCTGTTCGGTGAGTATACTGTGAACTAAAAGTTGAGTGTATTTTGTAAGAAATACGTTGATCCAATCCTGACTTTTTTTTTGAAATCTACTGTTGTAGATAAAAACCAAAGCTCTGCACTAAACTGGCCGAAGAGGTTCGAGATTACCAAAGGCATAGCCCGTGGTCTCTCATATCTTCACCACGACTCGCCCACCATGATAGTGCACCGAGATTTGAAACCAAGCAATGTCTTGCTTGCTAAAGATATGACCCCAAAGATCTCGGATTTTGGGATGGCTCGGATCTTTAATAGGGGCGAGAACGAAGTTGAGACGACAAAGGTGGTCGGAACCTAGTAAGTAATCGAAACAAGTATATCATCTTTGGAAATGGCAAACAAACAGTTTTTCTTCTTTGAAAGAGCTACTCTGTCATAACTTTTAGAATTCTAATCTTTTTATATATAAGATTTTTTCTTTCTTTTATGGAGTGGGTACATGTCTCCGGAATACTCCTTTGATGGGACATACTCTGAGAAATCAGATGTTTTCAGTTTCGGCGTCTTGATGCTTGAGATAGTGACCGGTATGAGAAACAGAGGATTTGCCGACGCTAACAACGGCATCAGTCTTCTCACACACGTAAGTAGTATGTTCAAACATTTTTGCTTCTGATACAATTTGAAAGAAAGTTTTTTTTCTCTCTTTTTTTTTTCAATTTTTATGAACAGGTCTTCAATAAATGGAAGGAAGGAGAATGGGCAGATGTCATAGATCCCATCTTGGATCTGAATTCATCATCACAAGAAGTCAAACGGTGCTTACATATTGGTCTCTTATGTGTTCAAGATCGTGCAGAGGATAGACCAATAATGCCATCGGTGGTCCTGATGCTCGTAAGCCAAACAGAGTCGATGCTGCAGCCGAACCCACCAGGCTATTACGCTCTCGGGAATGTTCTTTCTAATGTTGCACCAACAAGCAATACAGCATCAACAAGCAAGACAGCATCGACTAGCAATGTAGCATCAACGGTGACCGTCGAGGCCCGATAATTATATATATATTTAATATAATTGCATTAGATTGGACTCTGAATGCATATGAAAATATCTGATACCAGACTTGAATAATTTTCTTACTATTAGTTTTTATATGAATTCATGTATCAAACTGTTTAGCTTTATTCCAGAAAACCGCAGGTATGAAGTTTGAAATCATAATCCGTGAATTTAAATAAGGAAAAAAAAAACGGAAAAACGATTTCGTTGACGAATGTATGTCAACTGTCAAGAAAAAGAAAAAGTTTTAAAAATCGTTTGGCATCATCTTCAAGTTTAATAAAAACTAGTGCCAAAACAAAGTTCGAGTTCCTACGGGAATTCGCCCTAAAACTCAAAGTTTTAATTGTTTTGGGGGGAAAACAAGAGCTTAAATTAGTTTTGCAAGTTGTTAAATCGACTATCAACGAGGAACTGTTGTTTTGCAATAGTTAGAGCATCAAACATCAGGGATCAGGCCCTCCATCAATCGAGTATCTTTCAATAGATAACAATGAGATCATGAGAATTTATCGTTTTGCAAAGGGTGAAACATAAATCAAATTATATACCTCTCAAAGATTCAAATAAAAATACAGATTCCGCACTATCTCATATTTGGAATCAGTTATATTTAAACTAAAATGAAAAGCTGTGTAATTTCCATGTCGAATCAACAGTTATGTACAAACAAATAACAAAAAAAGAAAAAGAATTGAAAGGGAAGAAAACGAAACAATGCCTCTCAAAATGTAAACAATAGACTCAAACCATAAGACAGAAACAAACTAACTAGTGATTGTATCTCATCATCATCAAGAAACAATACGACTAGTTCCATTGTTTTCTTCTTCTTCTTGTTCGTCATCATCTACTATCCCATCAAAGAATGGGTCACGAAGAAGCTCAGCTGCAGAAGGTCTAGCCTTGGGTTCCGCAATGCACTTCTCAATAAAGGTCTTGGCTTCTACATCCTTCACCTTGTTCAGAGCCTCTGGTTTGACTCCATTGCTCACCCTTTTGTATATCTTGGCGACGCTATCGCACTCGCTGTATGGAATCTCGAGTGAAACAAGCTCCAAAACGCACATCCCGTACGAGTAAATGTCAACCATCTCCGTGTAATTCTCCTCGTATAGCTCAGGAGCCATGAACTCTGGTGTCCCGAGGATCGAATGAGCTAAATGGTTCTTCCCCACGATTGCAGCTAAACCAAGATCACCAATCTTGACCTGGTTTTCCACAAAAGAGAAACTCAGTCATTAACCAAAAAAACGAAAGAGAGGGGCTTTTTGACTACAAACATAGCGGGATTTGTATATGTTATTACCTGGCCGATGTTTCCATTGACGAAAACATTGCTGCAGTTGAGGTCTCTGTGGATGATGCAAGGCTCGTGTGTGTGGAGATAATCCAAGCCTTTGAGTATCTGCTTTGACCACTTCTTCAAAGCTCTCATAGAGACGTGTCTGTGCTTCTTCCGGTACTCTCTCAAATTCCCCGAGGTACAAATCTCGGTGATGAAGTTCAAGGTGTTGTTTTTCTCGTCTCTCCACACTTTGTACAAGGCGATGATGTTATTGTTCTTCAGGCTCTTCAGCAACCTGACCTCCGAGTAAAGCCTCTCGACCATGGCTGGGTCGTCGGAGAAACATCTCAGTTTGACTTGGTTCCAAGCCACTTCTATGCCTTCTTCTTGGTCAAAGGCTCTGTAGACCTTCTTCACGGCGCCTGAGCCCAGGAGCTCGTCGTACCGGCCATATCTACCGGTCGGATCCACCTCCACGAAAGGCTCCGAGTCCTTGTCTAGCGGATCGGAGCTCGCACTAGGCATCTGTTAGCACAAAACAGAGTGAGATTCTGATTAAACGACTAATCAGAATTCACAACGGCAAAAAAAAAGATTTCACGGTTTTTACTAGTCCAATCTAATTGCACAAGGAAGAACACCACGTCCGAAATTCAGTTTGAAACAGAGAGAGATTTTGATTAAACGAATACTCAGAATTCACAAAGGCAAAAAGATCTCACGGTTTTATAGACGAATCAACACAATTGAGCAGAAAAATTTCAGAATTCTAACGAAGAGAAACTAGAAATAATCTAAAATCAAAATACAGAATCAGCGAATTCATAGCTGGGATTCAGTTTTCGCACTAGTATCAGATCGAAGATTTCAAATTGAATCAGCAAAAATAAGAACCCTAAAACACGGAGAGAAATCGATCAAAACCGACATAGATATGCAAAAACCCTATAGAGAAAAATCTCTCTCCCCGGCTATGGAAGTTTCAGAAGCCGAAACAGTTTAAAATACAGTGAGGGATTGAAGAAACATACCATCGAAATCGATTGAATCGGAGAGGATAATCGAAATCCCTTGTTACTTTGTTTTGCTGCTAAGCTTTCGCTTTCGCTTTGTAGAGGAAGCAAACGTAGAGCGGAGCGTGGTAGATGATTAGAGAAGCTTTTGAAGACGAAAGAAGCGGAAGAGATTGTGGGAGATTTTTTATATATAGTGAAGATTTTTAAAATAAATATCTCATTTTCTTAAGGCGTATCTGAATGAAAAAGTATTTAAAATCGAGTTTAGGGTTTTAATACCGACTTTATTAGGGGAACTCAACATAATAAAATTAGATTCCAAATTTAAGGAAATCCTAACTACATATGCAAATTACCCATTTCTTAAATTATTAGGGAAAAAAAAGAAGAAGCTCTTATTTTTTGTCAAATTTTTAAAAGTTTAAAACACATAGTACCTACACTAATTAGAATAAAAATATATATAAAGAAATTATAATATTTTATTGACTTTACAAATTTAAAGTCAAACTTTTGGCTTGTGAAGAGAGAAGAACTAAACACCATTAAACAAAATATCATACCAAAAAAGATAAACGATCTAGACCGTCTTTTTTTAATTTGGAGTGTTTTTGTTTGTCATTGGACGGTCAAATATGAAATTAGAGAATTTTTTAGATTTTTAAAATTTTTAAAGCGCAAAGGCGGCTCTAAAAAATCAAGGGACACATGTTTGACTTTCACCTCATTTTTTTTTGGAGTTTACACATAAAAAAAAAAATTTTGATCCGATTATCTTCAATTTTTCCGGGATTATCTCCCCTAATGATATGATTATATAGAATCTAAGTGATAGTGTAGATTAGAATGACGGAAATCTAAAATTAGGATATTTTCAAAAGGTTATAATCTTATGGTGTATCTATATATTTTTACATATATCAATCATTGAAAATAAAGTAAACTTTTTAGAAAACCATGTCTAAAATCCTTTCTAGATTTTTTAGTTAAGGAAACGGTTTTAGATAAATATCATTCGGTTCAAGAATTTTTTTTCTTTTTAACATTAAAAAGCTCACGATTTTTTTCACAGCGAGTTTTCTATTTTTTATTTAATTAAATATATTGGATCTCAGTATATTTCCATTAATTTGTGGACATACTTATAAAAATGAAAATTTTCAGTTCCCGTATTAATAGGACTCGCGCAATGTTTTAAATATGATCTGCAAATAGAATAAAATTTAATAGCAAACAATGGTATTTAGAACAAGAAATCTTATATTTATGGCATTTTTGCATATCTTCCCAATTCATTTCAAATCTCCCAATTATTTTGAAATTTCATCCTCCCCCAAATTTTGTATGTTTTATAAGCTTAACCTACTAGATGAAATTTATGCAAAATATTTTTGTAGTCTATACATTTTTATTGGTTCTTATAACAAGTGTACATTTAATTCGAATAACTTTGCAATTGCATGAAAAAGGTAGCCTCTGCGTTATAGCCTACTTATAGCCTAAGTGATGTCTGTGACATAGTTTATAAAAAGAGCAAAGCTGCATGTGAGATGTGAAGCTGTTATTTCTTCGGTTCACGTTAACTCTCATATTAAAAGTTTTGCACAACTTGTTATCTTACGTCTATTTATTTCAAATGCATGTATATTGATTTGTTTGCATGTGAACATACAATATCATTTCATACTTTTTAACCAAATGTATTAGTAACAATACATTTTAAGGTTCTAAATATTAGAAGAAATCTAATTTTCCTTGATTAGTTTTGACGATCATATTACGGGTTATGGGAAATAATCCTTGGTTAGGCATTTTAAAGTGACCATATTTCAGCATTCTGACTTTATCAATATTTCCCTCTCTGTAATCTCCTTTGTTTCCAAAATTCATTGTATTATGCTCAGAGTTTCGATAACTCTTTCTGTTTCTTGTCACCCGAAAATTTAAAGTCAATGAAATCATATATTGCACAAAAAAGTAAGTTTTTTTGTTTAAAACTATATTGTTTATTAGAAGTGGAGTGGGATACACGAATGATGATGTTTGCATTTATTTTGTTCTCCTTTGCTCTTTCTTCAAATTCGTGACAACTAAAAAAGTGACAAGAAACTGATTCCGACAACGCCCATAAACGTTTTAGATTAATAATTGAATCAAATTCTAAGAAAATATTAAAGATCTAATAAAGTAGCAATTGATATTTTTTTTAGGAAGGGCCAAGCAAATTGTTCACTTGTATTGACCCACTCAGCAATTACGTACTCATACTGTCGTACACGATATGATATGGGTCACACCTCAGGAAACGAAATATTCGAATTGCAAGTATAAAATCGTAGAAATAAATTATTGTAAATAACATAAGTGAATAGAAAATTCAACTAAAACAAATATCATTTTTGCCCCCGAAAAAAAAACAAAAAAAAAATGTTATACTAAGAAACTGTTCAGGAATCAGGACATATTTTTGGAATTTTCCGGACTATTGAATTTCAGAAATAAATGTTCATCAGAGAACGTCGTCAATACTGGATTTTCTGGTGATCACGGATATGCGCTGGACCGAGCCTAAAGCGAAGTAATGAAATACTAGTTCCTATATTATGATAATAATTACTATAAAAACGGAACGTTGTCCACGTGTATGTGTTCAATTGGTGGCTGGAAATTTACCCTCAACCAAAAGGTCCAAAACACAAATGTATCGTGAATTTCCAACATTTCACAAAATATGAATATTTCGAGTTTTGGAATTTTTAAGTTGAGAAAATATATTTACACCATTTAATCGTAAACCAGTTAATTTTAACCAAATAACATAAGCAAATCGTAAACCAGTCAACACTCTTATAGATTTGCGGTAAGTTTTTGATCTTCAGTAGTAATCATTAATCAACCATTTGTTGCCTAACCAAGCTTTGATTTTACAACATTACAGCATTATATATTTTTGTGTTGTGAAAACTTCTTAGAAACTTTATTAATCACTGGAATATATATATAGAGTATATAGGGAATTTAGGTTAAGTACAATGCCCTGATGGGCCTAATGGGCCGGTATAAGAGTCTATATATGATATGTGTTATAACACTCCCCTTTGGACGAGTGAACCGGGTCATCTACTCAATCGGGATCTCGATAATGCGCTGGGGAATGTTGCCTCATTAAAACCTTACCAGGAAAAACCCAGTGGGACAAAACCATGGTGAAGGAAAAAGAGTACAACACGCATTACTCCCCCTGATTGTAGCATCACTGCAGATCTCTAAGTCTATACATTCCTATCTGTTTGACGAGCTTCCGGTGTGTTGAAGTAGGCAATGATTTGGTGAAGAGGTCAGCTGAATTCTCACTGGATCGGACCTGCTGAACGCTGAGAGTGTCGTCCTTCTGCTAGTCTGAGGTTGAGAAGAACTTCGGTAGAATGTGCTTCGTCCGATCTCCTTTGATATATCCTTCCTTGAGCTGAGCTTGCATGCCGCGTTGTCTTCATACATCACCGTGGGCTGTGTGTCTTCGTCCATACCACAATCTCTGCGGATGTGCTGAGTCATGGAGCGCAGCCAGACGCATTCCCTACTAGCCTCATGAATGGCTAGGATTTCAGCATGGTTTGATGAAGTGGCAGTGAGTGTCTGCTTCATTGATCTCCAAGAGATGGCTGTTCCTCCATGCGTAAAAACGTAGCCAGTTTGAGACTTGGCAGTGTGCGGATCTGATAGATATCCTGCATCGGCGAAGCCGACTAACCCATCTTTATTTTGGTTAGTATAGAAGAGTCCTAAGTCTTGAGTACCTCGAAGGTATCTTAGGAGATGTTTTATACCGTTCCAGTGCCTCTGAGTTGGAGATGAACTATATCGAGCGAGGAGGTTCACGGCGAAACATATGTCTGGTCTAGTGTGACTAGCCAGGTACATTAACGCTCCTACAGCACTGAGGTATGGCTTTTCAAGACCAAGGATTTCTTCATCATCCTTTTTGGGACCAAGAGGGTCATCACTTAAGCTCCTAACTACCATTGGGCTGGTCAATGGGTGAGCTTGGTCCATATTAAATCGCTTGAGTACCTTTTCGATATAAGCCGATTGATGCACAAGGATTCCTCCTTTGATGTACTCAAGTTGTAATCCCAAACAGTACTTTGTTTTGCCTAGGTCTTTCATTTCGAATTCTGCTTTTAAGCAGTCGACTGTTTGGGAGATCTCACCAGATGTTCCGAGAATGTTTAGATCATCCACGTATACTGCTATGATTACAAATCCTTTGTTTGAGTACTTCTTGATGAAGATGCATGGACTGATGGGGTCATTTTTGTAGCCTTCTTTGATGAGGTAATCGCTGAGGCGGTTGTACCACATACGCCCACTTTGTTTCAGTCCATACAAGGATTTGTTCAGCCTGATGCAGTATTGATCTCGAGATGCATTTTTGTCTTTTAGTTCAATGCCATCTGGGAGTCTCATATATATTTCGTTGTCCAGAGGCCCATAGAGATATGCGGTTACAACATCCATTAACCGCAGATCAAGATTTTCTCTTATGGCCAGACTTATGAGGAATCGGAATGTTGTTGCATCCACCACTGGAGAATAAGTCTCCTCATAATCGATTCCGGGTCTCTGTGAGAATCCTTGTGCTACAAGCCGTGCTTTGTATCGAACGACTTCACCGAGTTCGTTCCTTTTGCGCACAAAGACCCATTTGTGGCCCACTGGCTTGATGTGTGATGGGGTCCGGATGATCGGACCGAACACGTTTCTGAGTTTGAGACTCTTTAACTCCACGTTTATGGCTTCTTTCCATTTTAGCCAATCTGTTCGATGTGTACACTGTGTTATTGACGTGGGTTCTAGATCCTCTTGCGTGAGCGCAACATCAAGTGCTACTTTGTATGCAAAGAGTGCATTTAAGTCGACTTCTTTTCGATTCCATTGTATTCCGGACATATTGTAATTGATGGAGATCTCATTGTTATCTTTTGAACCTGGAGATTCGGCGTCCCGAACTTCCATTGAGGGTTCATTAGATTGAGTCTCAGCCGCGGCTATGTCTGATATTGTAGGAATCCCGGTTTCGGTTATTGCACCTTTCTTTGATTTCCGGGGATTCTTATCTTTGGAACCGAGAGGTCTGCCCCGTTTGA